GGTTTTACGTTCCGAACCAACGACGGGCATCTGGCGCGCCCCAGCGGAGGACTGAGGATTAATTTGAACCACCTGGGGATCTTTTGACGTGCAACCGAAAGCTCGGTTACACGGCCCCTCCTCCGCAATAAGCCTCCGTCAATATAAATAAATAAATAACGATATATATATATATATATATATTTCCTTATTCCCTGATTGACAAAATACACATAGAAAGTATCAAATGATAGAAAAGAAGGTCAATAAATATGTTTTCGGAATTATATTTGCGTGAAAGGTTTGATTTATATCATCCTAGTAAAACTGGTCCGACTTAAACCGCCGTTTAAATCGTCATTTAAATCTCGATTTGCATTATGTTGATTTATATACTTGACCCTGCGACAAGTATGCACGTGCTAACTTCCATTCGTTTTAATATTTTTACTTTAGAAAAGTTACAGTTGCAGACGCCCGCACGCTACAAAGTGCGTTTCTAGGTACACCCGCATCTTGCCTAATTTAGAAAAAGGTGCAATTCAATCCACGCCGATTCCGGCGCACGGACGTTTAGGCTAGATTAGTCGAGAACTTTTCGAAACAAACCTGTTTCCTTTCAAAAAAAAAAAAAAAAAAGTTTCCTAGTTGTTTAACTTTTTACTGTAGGGTTCTTTCCTCAATGGTTTCAACACGCCTGCGGAAATTACACAGATTGCACAATTCCGCGATTACTTAAAAAAAAATGCGAGACAGGTGGTAAACAAGGTTATAAAAAAAGCGTGCTTTAAAGAAACAACACGACTGAATTAGAAAAAAAAAAAAAAAAGAAGATTAAGTTGTCTTGATACAACACCTGTCTCACAAGAAAAAGCAATTTAACCTAATAGGCTTATTTTTTCTTTCGCGATATTTGCGTTTTGAACTAATGCTGAATATCGCGACGTACTTCTATTTTGTGCTTCTGTTTCGGTACGATATATGCCCAGATTTCAAAATCATTGCTCACTCGCAACGAGCCTCACGACGTAAGTATTGCGATAATTATTTTTTTCTTCAGTTTATGTGCAGACTTGTACACGTTACTAAAAAATAGGTAAGGAATTACATTTGCAATTACCTATGGCCAAATGTAACTCATTACAGTTAAAATTACACTTCCATAAAAGTAAGTGACCGGTACTTCAAAAAGTAATCCGTTACTTTCAACCTTACTGTCCAAGTGTAAGAGACAAGGCATTAGTGTTATGGAAGCGTTTATTGTTGCCGCAACTCACAGTTTTGTGACCTTGAGCATTATCTGGCTCTCAAAAAGTTTCATTGGACATCTTACCTCGTTTGTATGCGAAGATGTTGTCCGCTGCACTAAACACAGCCCTCCTTTTTCCAAATAGGTGCTGCCACCTGGACGAGCGACTGAGTGGCTAGAAGACAATGCGTTCGCAAGACCTCCCCCACCCGCTCCACACCCAAAACGTCAACTAGATCCTGTTGGCCCATTGAGACGCTTTGTCCTAGCTACCTCTGGCTCCACCAAACTTCGCTTTTCTTCCCAGTGCAGATTAACTTGGTCCCGGAAGTTGATACAAAGAAGTAATTATCTCTCTCTGTCTCTGAGCCAGAAGAAAGCAAAAAAAAAAAAAAAAAAAAGTGAAGACAAAAAGAAAACGAAAACAGGCGCAAAGATTTGTTACACCAGCTCGCGTGGACTTATACTTTTGTTTTTTGGATTTGTTTTTTGTTGGAAGGATACACTTTGAACCTCGGAGTTTGCGTAATATTGCTTGCATGGAGAGTCCGGTTCTTTGTATCAATTTGCATCCCACTTCGTTGTGGGCGAGCAAGCTGACGAGTTCCAAGTTGCAAACAACCGAACCCCCCTCCCCATTTTCCAACAAAAAAAAAATCGAGTCGGGGTTTTAAGTGATGTTAAGAAAGGCTTTGATCATCTAAAGAATGCCAGGCCTTGCGTTTTGTCAATGCACGTGACAGCGAGATCCGGTAGAGCTTACTCTACAAGATATATATATATATATATATATATATATATATATATATATATATATATATATATATATATATAGATATAGATATTACGACTTCTTTTGTCAATAATCAATGTTCCCTCATTTTTCCTCTGCGAAGGAAAACAAAAATGTAACAGACTACAACCATTCCCTTACGTAAAAAAAGTAACAAAATTACTTTACTTAATTATTTATCCGACTTATTGCGAAGATTAGCAGGGTATATAGTATCCCCTGGCCGAATGGCTGACCTGCACAAATCGCATCAGTGTGTCATTTACAAATTTATTGTATAAAATCTGTTCAAATTAAAATTAAACACATATAAGCTCTAAAAAAATGTTCGTTCTTAGAAAGGATTTTGCGACGCCTCAAAACATCCTTGAGCTCGTGAAGAACGGTTTCATCTCAAGCACATCACCCCCTGGCGCACTAGAAAGGGAACTGGGCGATGAAGACCTCTTTCGCGTCGAAAAAGGAGCTTAAAGGGGCCATGAAAGCATTTTTCAACTTCTTCCTCCTTCTGTCATCCTCAACTCAAAAGCGAATTGACAAATCACGTCGTCGTGACATATGTGTGTGTGCGTGTGGGCGTGTACATACATGTGTGAAAGTGAGCGCGTGCCAGTGATTCACAACATCATCCATAGTCACTCTTACTCCCTTTCCCCTCGCTCCCTTTAATTTTTTTGTGAGAAACAGATCTGCATCCCAGCAAGAACAACTTCTGCCCCCCCCCCCTTTTTTTTTGCCTGCACGACAACCCCCCCCCCCCCCCCCCCCCCCCCACCTCTTCGCGACATGCTTGGGCACCGGACGCGATGACTCCAAGCTTTCCCCGTGCTTTTTAAGCACACCATGCAACTTGTTATTCGCAAGTGATGATACGTTCCGTCATGGCACGATCATTGGCCACGAACGCGAATCGAAATATTTGTCGACGGATCGATTGTTGACGAGCGCATACGTCCGAGTGACGCAGGTATCGTGTCCGGTCGTGAACTGGGGTCAGGCGACGTGCGTTGGGTTCCGCGGATGCATAATATAGTGAAAAGGCGGATAGCTTTCGAAGGAAAAGAGGTACGGAATAGTCCGATTTATTCAAATGTTCGTACCGAAAAGATGGCTTTCGACTCTCTACACTCTTTCTTTTGTCCCACTAAACAATATGCGATTAGAAAAAAAAAAAAACAAATCTAAAATCATTAATCTCGCAGCCCTTACAAGTTTTTTTTAGGCTGTATAAAACCGGTACGGAGAACAGAAAACAATAAAATATTATACGTGTCTGCAAAGTGAATTTTCGCTCGCCACCTCGCCTCAGAACAGACCATGTACCGCGAACTAATAACCTAACTACAAATGACTGACCAAATGAACTAATTGCCGAGAAACAGTGCTGCAATCGTATCTGGGGTTCCAGTAGTTCCTAGTGGTTTCAGTGGCTCTGTTCCGCTGGACGCGAAGTGCCCGCGTTCTGAGGGACAGTTTCCCAACTGAGATGTTTCGGTCACGTTGGCTTTGAAAGCTCGTCACAACCTACGTGAGTTCTTATTTCGCATTTGAGTTGACGCTTAAAGCTAAGAAGGAAGAAGTTGAAGAATCATTTCATGGTCCCTTTAAGGTACTTTAAGGAACCTGGTGACCATGCTGCACTATAGTCGTCCACTGCGATCCTTACGCATCATTGAAGTTGTCTCTCGCATACTAACAATCTCGGTCGTGACGTCAGGGGTAAGAACCATAAAAGGGAGCCACCGAAACATTTCGTACCTCGTCGACCATTCGCGATGAGGAACTCGCGGAGGGGCGCTTCTGTTTTCCTCCCTCTGGGTGGTGCACGTGCAACCCACGCGGTTATGTTTTAGTTTTCCTTGTCCATAGAAGCGTGGCAGTGCACGTGCTTGCACCAGCAGAGGAAGTTGAAGTATCCTCACCTTGGCTCGTGAAAACATTCCACCGGGCGGCGATACCCAGACTTCTCGCCGCGAATGGACCATTGCAAAATAAAAGCTCTTCTGGCCGGTTCCGTTTACAGCGTACGCGGTGCTCGATTTGCTCGCTTTGCGAAGCGACAAAGATGCGCTTGGTGGGCTCTGGAGTTCGCACGCTGGGTTGTGGATTTGGACACATTGAAATTGTTCATACCCTCGATAACCTTGCACAAAACAAAGTTAAGGAGGATTTGTTTGACACCATCAAATAAGTATAGTTCATTCTAGAGCCACTCAATGAGCTGCACTTAGAGTATCGACACTCCGTTTCCCGACATTGTTGTGGGCGCCGCCATTTTGGCTCGTATGCAGAGCAGACGCAACTGCCGATCGTCGTGATTCAAAAGTGCGACTTTCTCAGCATTAGATTCGGTGATTCGCTCTGTCGCGAAGGGTTTAAACATTTGTGGAGGGCGAAAAGGCGTTTCCTGTGATTTCAGATAAAGCTTCAGATAACTGGCAACCACTATTTTAAGACAGTATGGCCCAGTGTCGTTACTCTGAAGCTTAGCTTCAGAGTAACGACACTGGGCCATACTGTGTATGGCAAGACAAGACAAGAGTGAACTGAAAGGATTTCCTGAAACGAATACACGCCCACTTTTCTGGTAGGTTTGCCGTGCAAGTGCACTTATCAGGGAATCATTGAGGGGGAAACTTCAGGGGCTTCTGCGGCACGTCGAACATTCAATATATGACCGATCAACAACGTACCTAACAAAAAAAGATTTTTGTTTTGTTTAGACAGTATGTTGGGAATAATTTGTTTCGAACTAAATGGGCATCGTACCGGTGTGCGTTCACGTATTCTTTACTGCGTAATGCACGTTAAAGACCTCAGGTTAGCAGTTGTACTGCACTGAATTACTCGTCTACAGCGCGAGCCAGTACCATTTCTCAAAGGCGCATTAATCTTATCCTGTTCAAAAAAGCACGTCTAATTTGGTTTTTCGTTTTTTTTTTGTTGTTGCTAAAGAACACGCAAAAAGAAGTCAACATATCAACAACAGAAACATGTTTATTATCGGTTTTCTTAAAAAGAAACAATATCGTAACAGAAAGGCATGTATGCAACAAACAATATGTACAAGGAGACACGCACATCGGACAGAAGGAAAGTTGTTCACGAAGTCACAAATACATGAACAACCTTCAAGATTTGCTTCGAGGCTCTATATACAGACATCGCGAGCACTCGAATCATAAATAAGAAGTAATATGTCTAGAACCCAATAACGGGTCTCGTTTCAGGCATACAAAAATTGGCTTCTCACGTAGAAAAACATTCATTCTTACCCATACTACATATCATTCACTCAGTCTTCATCATTCATGCATTAAAAAAGGACTACAGCAAGGCTGTAAGCGGTACTTTGTGGTCCCATTTCAGATACCGATCAGCTGACTTCTCCAGGGGAGATGCCGACCATCCCAAGGCCCTGAATTCTCAAACAGGCTTCGCGTTACCAAGCACACCATCATCCAAGCTTCGACCGTACTAAGCTTTCCTAGGACCCGAGAAGGCATGCCACAAGCTTGAACGGTTCCCGCTACCCTGAGAAACATCCCAAACCGACGGGGGAAGCTCTTCGAAACCATGAAAGACTCATCTGACGGGATAGTAAAGATGTTGGACACGTGCGCGTGGAACTGCTTTCTTTCTGTCTCGAGGTAACAGCGTCCTTCAGACACCGCGATACAATGGAACTACACAGCAGTCACGGAAATTTTTGTTCTTTTTCGCAGGGCGTTTTTACGTGCATCTAGTATTAGAACACGCGCAGAAGGTCGCTACCGGCGATTCTTTAAAACGCGGCGGGTATTAAAAAAAAAGAAAAAGTTCCCGTCGAAAAGGAAGCAAATGCAATCCTACTCGCAGCCTGTAACGTACCCGACGAAGCGCGACGAGAAGAAAGCAAAAGAAGTCCCACTTTGTGACGCGTGCCTGCGGTCTCACGCAAAGTCTGAAGCGAGGACACTTGCGCGGAGAAGGTCCCAATTGTTATACTACCTCAGCAGTTTTTGACTAGGCGCTTGTAGCTCCTGCAGTAGAAGCGGGCGAACATGAGAAAGAAGAAGGCGCATTCGGCGATGCATAGCCAGCTGAAGAAGGTGGGGAAACCGCATCGCACGAACAGCGGCAGGATGGCGTGTACCACGAGCACCACGAACTGGATCAGCTGGACTTGGGTGAGGTACCTCTTCCACCAGAGGTACTTCTGCACGGAGGGTCCCATGAGCGACAGGAAGTAGTAAGAGTACATGATGACGTGGATGATGCTGTTCAGCGCCCCCGTCAGAATGTTTTGTCCTCCGCAGGCGAACTTGAGGACAATCCATACGGTCCCGACTACCATCGAGTGGTGGGCCACGTGAAGAACTGTCACGTGACTCTGCTTTTTGGTAAGAACGAAGAAGACAGTGTCCAGCAGATCGGCGATCTTGAGCAGGAGGTACCACCAGACGAGCTTAGTGAGGGTCGTCGCGTTAGGGCTGTCCGAGTAGTCCACCGTCTGGCAGGCCCAGTTGTAGCCTCCGCCGAGATAGGTGAGCCTGAGAAGGTTGAAGGCGAAGAATCCACTGGCCAGCACGTTGAAGAGATTGTAGGCCATTATGAGGGGTTTGAGTTGGTAGGGCTTGCGGTCCCGCATCCAGTGGGGGCCCACGGTGGTGGCGAACGAGACGTACGCCGCCAAGATGGTCAGGCAGGTGACCGGGCTGTCCATGAGGGGCCACCCTTGGACACGGGGGTCCGCCAGCGACGAGATGTACCGAAGGCTCTCCATGTTCACCGTGCGGCTCGAGTTCGGATCCACACACTGATCTCCACGGTCCTGGTGCACTCGAAGACATTTACAAATAGTCACGGGGAAAGGGCGTCAAAGCGCTTCGGTGACGTCACTAAAAAAAATTTACGCCCTGCCACCTCCACCGTTGTCGCTTCAGTTTCCCGCGCGTACGTCCCGACGCGCGACGTCCCGAGGGCCAATCAGCGGCGAGGGCTTTCCCCGTTGCAGCGTTCCCATCGGTGGAGAGGGTATTGTTGTCGGCGGGTGTGCCATCAAGGGCAACACGCGACGACGACGACGATGCGATATGCCGTGCCAACGAGGTCGGACGCCGCGGGCGTTAGGAGAGCATGGCGGGCGACGCCGGTTTCCAGGAGCCGGCCGGCTTTTTCCCGTATCGACCGCCAGGGTCAACGCGCTTCCTCATTGGCCGCGCCGGGTCGTGACGTCACCGATCAGCATGCCGGGAAGGTGGAAGAGCGTCGGGGAGTCCCCCGCACTCTCGTCACACTTGCTCCTTCCTTCGCCGAGGAGCACGTCCCAAGGCGCCGACGGCGAAAATTGGATGTGTTTCCGACAGCTACGTAGGCGTTGTTGATGTGTTCCCTCTTTTTCCATCGCGTCATCGTCGTGGAAGGAAACACGGGAATTTTGTAAGGTAAAATTTAAAAAAAAAAATTTTTCGTCGCAATACCAAGTTCGCGGTAACCAAAAACAATAGGGGGCAAACGAATTAAAAGAACAATGCTAGATGCGGTCGGCGCGAGCCGACCTGTAAGTTCCCGGGCTGTTTCTTACGCCGGCGATGAGCGCCATAATAGCGCGTTCTCGTTGGCTTAGCCATTGTCTGACGACAATTGTTCCCTCGGGGAGAAGAAAAAGAAAATAACGGCCAATTTTTCGTTTTGAGTCGTCATGATTTGTTATGCGCGTTGTCGTGTGCACAGTGAAGATGCGGTGAAACCAGTAGGAGACAATTAACGCCACGCGCCTTAGTACCAAAAAGAAAACGATGTACATATAAACGCCGAGCACTGTGCCGCGGTCTGGGAAAGCCGGTGGTGTAATACTTTCTCGCCAACACCAGGCAGCGAGGCCAGCACCGAGATGTTTGTATGCTTTTCTATTATTATTTAGACACGCTCTAGAGTGTCAAGGCAAAAGACAGACTTACTCTGCCTGACGAGGCCCGTCAGAGCGTTGGCAGGACGAGTTTAAAGTGAACAATGAAGGGGAAACAAACTGCGACGGAAACGAAGGATTTGCGGAGGCTCCTCAACTGTTTACCGAAAGTAGTTTATAATCGTTTTCCGCATTTGAGCACGGGAAAAAGTCGCCGAGCACAACTTGAATATAACTTGTCGCGTCGTGTGAACGTTGCTGCTCTTCTCAGCGGCCTACAAAAGTGATTTAAAATTGCTTCACCGAGTGTTTTTGTTTTACCTGGGTCAGTGCTCAAGGGCTAAAACGCCGAAGGCTTCGTTTAGGCGTCGCTGGTGGGTATGCGGAGTACACGTCTCGAAGAGGTGTTTCCCCGTTTCATGCGTTCTTCCTTCAGGTGTTTACTTAGATAATTAATTACCGTTACCGTTAAAGAGGAATTCGATTATATGGGCACACAACCTATACGGAGAGCAAGTCGTCTGCTTCTTGCGCAGGGGTGGCGGTGACGTCAGAACGACACCGAGCTCCGATTGGCGGAGTAGAGCTCAACGCTATGGACGGCCGCGAGGTCTACCCACTATTTTCCTTTTTAATGCGAAACAATTTTTTCTTAATCAGCCAATAACAGCTCGTCGTTCTGACATCAACGCAACTCCTGTGCAAAAAGCAGACAAACTCGCGCTCCGTGTAGTCGCCTAAACCTTAAGAAACGAGGCGTGCGCGGATTATGATGGTCCCGCTCCTTGCTTTGTGATTGGTTCGTCGGCCACCTTATCAGCCAATCACGCAATTTCATTGGTCGAGGAATTCGACACGCGCAGCGTTTTTTCAATAACAAAGTAGAAAAAAAAATTTTTTGTTTTTGTTCTCCATAACCCTACTTCGGTGGCTATCCGCCATGAAACTGAGGGAGAGGAGAGAACGCCGAGCTGTGATTGGAGCGATTAGTGGGTAGAGCGAAAGCTATAACTGTCTTTGCTTCAGCTGCACTCGCCGATCGGCGAGTGCAGCTGAAGTTCCGAGTTCTATCGCGTTCGACAAGTGCAATGGAGACAAAAGCAGCTCAAACTTTAGATCTGCCCACTAATTGTTCCAACCAGAGTTTCTCCGCGTTTTGCCAGTGACAATACATTTCGACGGTGCGTGGAGAAAGCAGGGCGGAAGCTTGGAGTCATTGCACTCGCACCTCAAATGGATAGGGAAATGAAACGACGCGACCTCCCGCTCGCTTCAAAATTGGCCAGCGAGAAGCGAAATGCGTATCGCGCTCGTGACGTCAAGGGCCTCTGCACGACCAATGGTACGGCAGTTGCGAGCATCGACGCTTGGTGGCGTCAACGCGTGACAATCTTGCCTAGTAGTAATTCTCCATGGACTGTATATACGTCTTGTGGCCTAAACACAGCTTGTCCGTAACGTCATTCGCGGCCATGCTGGTATTTTGTGTGCTGTGAGCGTTCGGCTCACCGTGTTAGTTTCACGCCGCAGAGTGAACCAGTAAGTGGAAATAACCGATAGTACCCAGCAATGGCGACACTTGCAAGCTATGCATAGACGATTGCAAGCACGGCGACTGGCAGCCGCCATGCTTCCGCTCGTGCGGGCACGCCCGTGAACTGCAAGCTTGACAAAGCTAAGTTCACGCGCACGCTGCACGTGCGTGCACGCACGGGGCACCATTTGGGGCGATTGTCTATATAAGGCGGAGGTTCCCCAAAAGTGGCCTGCGGGCCCTTTGGCGTCCTTGAAAGCCTTCTTGAAGTCCCCGAAGCCTAAGACCGTCAGTCAAGCCGAGCAATTAAACATGATTTTCTTTTAATGCTGGTTGAGCTACAAAGCTAAGCAGACCAAGCCATGTGCACCGAATGAGAAGGGTTGATCGCTCCCCGTTTTAGAGTGTCAAAATTTGTTTACTGGTTGATGACCTCCTTTATACAAAAAATGCCTGCCCAATTTCTGGCTTCCCCATGCTCTGGTGCCGTTGTTCCTGCTTCACGTAGTCACCGCCAGAGGCGCCACCTCCCTAAAAAGCGAAATAACTGCTGTTTGCTGCGCTGTGATGCTACCGCAACGTATGTAATTCCAACACTTCGGAACGTATATTTCATAGCGGGTGAGTAGCAACATATTAGGGAGTTGTAGTAGATGGTTTTTCTCCTCCGCTGCAGTATCCGTGAAGAAACGCCGCAGCTGCGCATGCGCGCCGCCAGCCTAATCTGCATAGTTGAACGTCTTGTGGCGGATTACGGAGCGTTATCCGGGTGCTTAGCGGGCTGCGGAAACGGTCCACTACCTTTCACTATTGTGGTGGAACACGAACGCTCGCACCTCAAGGTGTGTTGTGCAAGACAAAGGCTCAGACCGCAAAAAGTGTCGTGCAAGCAGTGTGCGTGAAGAAATGGACACCGACGGAACCTGACGAACAAGGATTTCGAATTACCTCCCGCCCTAAAAATAGTAGGTAGTTTTCGAAAGTTAATAAATGTAGGGGACAGTAAGTGTGACCCAACATAAATTATAAGCCAGACGGACGAGCACGTGGTAAACTTTCACAATTTCAAAACAGAGAACACTGAAAGTTTAATTGCTGAGGTCAAGGACCAGACGAAGAGCAGGTGAAGAGCAATTGCAACGGCCAGGGTCGTCTGGTGTTATAATCGCTACGAAGTCCCCTAAGCAGTGTTCACTGTTTTAGATGTGTAATGGCTCATGTTTCGTAATGACGTAATGTGCCTATCGTCAGGCACACGTCCTGGAGCTGCGAGAGCGCCGGAAGGTCAGTCACTCAAACAGCACCGAAAGATGCCGTTGAAGGGTACAGGGTCTGATCCAGACCTGACGACAGGGAGGCCGAACCAAGCTGAGCTTTGAGTGAAGCCTCAGCAGGATGCTGAGGCTTCACTCGAAGCTCAAAGCCCAGCTTGGTGCATTCTTACCTCATTCGTGCCTACTTTATACTTTGGAGTAGCAGAAGGTAGAATTTGGGATGCAGTCTTTTCTCAAAATAGGCTTAGTCACTTTTCATGTTCCTGGGTGTTGCTTGGGGTCTCGGGACAGAAGAGTCCCTGCACCTTTTTTTTTTTTGCGCGTCTGCATAAATCGTAAGAAAAAAGGTTATTAAAAAAAGTTTGATACCACTCAAACCTATTAAGTCAAATACGCAAAATAGCATAAAGATTGCAGGAACGCACGAGAGAGGCTTATACGCGGTTAACTCAGTTTTAACTGCGGTTACGTGGCAGCACAGATGTCGCACTACACCCTCGGACAGCTATTTCAAAAGAAGTGAAGAGAGCGCGTGCACTGCTTTGATGGGTGCTCAAGATGCTCAAGCGCACCTTCGCCCATAGCTCTGACTGCATCGCCGCAGAATGTTGTCGGCAAGTATTGTGCGCTAATTGTGGTTAAGTGTGCCCGTGTAACAAGGGTATTAGTCACTTCGTTCACGTCGTTTAGGTTTTCTCTCTTGTATAGGAAAGCGGTGCACCCTCGCGGTGATAGCTGCTAATTGGCGTTTCTTTTTTCTTTTCTTCCTTTTTTTTTACTTCCATGTGTATAATATAAAAAAAGAAAGATTATGAAGATGAAGTCTAATACAGCACAGAGATCAGAGCCAGCGCATTGTGAGTGTTCAAGTTTCTTTGAGTGTTTGAAATGTATTGTTGTCTGCGTCTGTTTCCTTGCACTGTGAGGTGTTACTAAGAATCAACAACTCGTCCAAGCTCATGTATTGCTATTCAAACTTGGAGGGCTAGACAATCCGGAAGCAAGACTCGACTGTAGCGCTGCTAGTTCTCGCGACCGCCACTGAGCCCACGTCGCAGGCGGAGCTGTGAAACTGAGCTTGTTCC